CCACAAATGTGCGGTATGGCAGTACGCGCTATTGTGTGGATTGCACGTTAGGTCCCATTGCACCTTTACCTGCATGTGCCTTAGCCAAAATGATAAATAGCAAATGACACATTTTTAATTTTTGTACGGCAATTTGTGCTGAGGAGTTTTGAAGGAATTGGCCAGCGGAATAATCTGAACTACTGAAGCTGGTGCTTATGATACCCTGAAATACTGAGGAAGCTTCAGAGAACCAAGAAATAAAGACCACAGGATGCCCTGCGTAACTTTAGTCCAATAACAACCGGATATCTCAAGTGGGTCAAATTACATGAAGACTGATATCAGGCACAAACAGTAAAGAATGAAAAACAGTGGGAGCATAATTCAATCGGATCAGTGTTGTTTTAAATAAGTGTTGGAAAATAAATCTTGTCAAACAACCTGATAAAGGTTTTTGATAAAATTACAAAACCTGCAGAGAATGGAGATCATAAAAAATGTCACACGCAAACTTCTATAAAGTCACTATAAAAAGTACACTGAAGTACACTGTCCCTGTACAAAAAAGTGTGGCGCACATTAAACACTGGTTAAATAATAGGCATAAAAACCATAAATGGAGAATCATTATCCAAAAGAGGTATTTCTACTGAGACCCTGCAGGGAACTGTTTTTGGCCCAGCGCTATTTACCATCTTTAAAACTGACCTTGAAGAAAATATATAATCACAGCTGGCAAAGATCCTGGAGAGATGTAATGTATGATGTGCTTCTAACAGTGAGCATATATGCATTTCAAAAACGGCTGAAGCACTTCAAAATGATCCACCAAAAATGCAGAACATAACTAAAGCGCTACTTTTTGAGGAACTTCCTGAAACTTCTGGACATATGGACTACTTGGTCCTCCAGCATTCAAAGTGTTCCCACAGGGGAGAGAGGGTTGGAGAGAGAGAAAGAGAGAAGGAGGAACAGGGAGGACAAGTCAACGAAGGCTTGCTTGTGTGCTCAGCTATCCTCAGCAGTCTCTGGAGCCCAAGGCATGCAAGGAATCATCCTCTCCAGCCCTGAGACCAGGAGACAGAAGGCCAAGTGCATGGAGAGAGTGCTCACTGGCTGTCTGCTCTGCTCTTCCACACCTGGAGGGAAGAGGGGGACAGAACCACAGGACTGAGCAAATCCCACTGCATCCCTCAGGGGGAAGCACACTGGTGCCGGTTCAGCAACATTAAAGTGTTCTGGCAGGGGCTGCAGGTCTGTCCATTGCCTGCAACATACTGAATTTGAAACACTCCAAATTGGAGTGAAATTTGGAGCGCTTCAAATTTATGCCTGCCTGCAGCTTTTGTGAGATAACAGGCAAAAGCCAATGAAACACAGGCTCCTTTAGTCACTTCTGAATAATGGACTTGGCTTATCTAATCATATTGGTGCTTTTGAAAATGTTACTTCATTACTATGATACTATATCCAAGTTTTGGCGTCCACACTTTAAAAAGGCTAAGCGTTCAAAAAAGAATGACCAGAGGTCTAAAAATGGCAGACTGAAGAAATGCAATGTATTCCTCTTATCACAGAGGAGGGTAAGAAGTGACTTGATCACAGTCTCAAGTAACTGCATACAGAGCAGACTGCTGGTATGAGAGGGCTCTTAAACAAAGACATAATGAGTTTGGATGAATGCAAACCCGAACCAGACAAATTCAGACTAGAAATAAAGTAGACATTTTACCAGTAATATTCCAGTGGTTAAACTGATGAATTTATGTTGAGGCAGGATGAATTTTTCATCACCTGAAGTCTTTAAATAAAAACCAGATAACTTTCTGAAGCTCAAAATCAGAAGCTAAGGACATAATGGACGAATTGCTAGGTAAAATTCTATGGCTCGCACTATGCAACGGGCCAGACTAAATTATCATAATGGTCCTTTCTGGCCTTAAAATCTATTAATTTAGGCCTATTTCCAGTAATGACTTTGATGAGTTTGTTGCTGGCAAATATCTAATTCCTAGAATGAGGGATCAATAGACTGTCTTCTAAATTCTCGGGAGTTTGGTTTATGTCTAATATTATCTTGACAACAGCTCTATCTATCTGAATGGTAATGAGCCTGATTATCCTATTATGGCCATTTCACACTTCTGTAATTAAAAGAAAAACTGGTCTCACCGCACAAAAAATTATAAGCAACCAGCTTCTCCCCTTTCCCTCTAAAGGGATCATCATTGCAACCAGAGGTATAAAAACTGCCTGTTTTCAATACAATAAACACCCTAAAACCAACATTTGGTCCTGCCCTATCCTTTGGTTTAGAGTGTGTACCAATTTGTTTGCAGGGAGCTGTACTAGAAATTGTGCACTGAGATCTTCTACTTTCCTCTACAGAGAGAACTGGTTGAAATAAAATCTCTTTGCACTCATTAAAAGGTTTGCCAACATTTGAGCATATCCATTTTTAGTCCATCAATCTTGGGGATGCCCAACAAGTATGCCAGAGCTACAAAAAACACTTTTACCTTGTGCTATTTTAAGCTAGCTCTCTTGTATATTATAGACATCTCCCTTTTACTTTTCTTTTGTATTGGACCAAAACAAATGTTTGCACAGTGACAGCTTCAACAAAGAACCAGTCTTACCGCATGCTGACACTTGTACTACAAGGGAAAAGAAGGCGGGGAACAAGGTAATGACTATGTACATGAAGAAAAACATTATGGGGGAGAGGCTTTTAAAAACATATTCCTTGAAAACATATCCACTGCATGTAGCTAAGACAAATTAGCAAAAATGCAGAGGCCGGAGATTTAATTCACTGTGGGACAGTAGAGGTGTATTGCCTCCTTTCTCCGGTTCTCTGCCCTCATCCTGAGGAAGTCTTTTCCAACAGATCCTGTTGTCAAGGTTTTCCATTATTCAGCCTACGTTTTCCTTTCCTTTCTTTCACCAAGTGGTCTCACCGATAACCTCTTCAAATCCCTCTTATTCTTACAGCAATTCTATAACAGAAGTCTCTTGATTTTAATACTAGCTTCTACAAATTCAGAGGTGCATGCATTTAAGGGCATTGGCCAAAACGTTACTATGAGAGAAGATGCTCATGTTGTATGTTGGACATGGAGGCTCGTCGTGTGTATAACGCTGGCTAGCACAGCAGTATGAAAGGGAGAACGCAGCATCGTTTACATAAAACCTGAGGCTTTAGTCTGTCAGAAGATGGTGGGAAGAACAAATGGCAATTCTGTTCCCCCTGCTGTAGCCTCGTAGGTGATGCTATATCACACCCAGTGTATTTGGAAGAAAAAGCCTCAATAAGGATGCGTTCCCTAATGGCACTGTTTGATATAAAACAGGCAAAATTAACCATGTTTATAACCAACTTCTCAATACTGGATTAAAAAAAGTAGGTCTAAATATTGCAGAATACATTCTGAGCCACTTTAAGGCAGGCTGAATCTTTTAGCTAAACAGACTGCAAGAGTCCCTGCAAGAGCTTATCCCTTCTAGGCTCATTTTCCCTCCTCATATAGGACTGTTAAACCTATTTTAAAGAAAATGAAAACTGCCTTGGACATTCATGATATAACTTGTCTTTACAAAGCAAGCTCCAAGTTACCATTTGTCAAGAGAGGACCTTTAAACCTTAGGCTTTGGGGAGGCTAACATAATTGTGTTCTTTAAGGAAGACAGCTCTAAATGAGCTGACAGGCAGAATCTCTCAAGCAGGAAGTTGAATGAGACCAGGGGTGTTTTCCCTTTACTGTAAAAATGATTATAGATGTAGAGCTCACAACAGCACTTGTGTTAATTAGCCAACTGTTTTTGATCTTCCACCTCTCTATACTGCGATCTAGTGTCCACTGGTCAGACACCGACTTGAATGTGACTTAATCCAAATTCATTTTGACAGAATGATTCAGCTCCGGCATAACCCACTTGTCCTTTCATGTGACATCTGACTACAGAGATCACTTTATATTCTTGACACAAAAACCACAAATAGAATTTCCAGTTCCTTGGCTATTAAAAGCGCCATGAGATATTGCTCATTTATATTTAGAGCAGCTGGTATATGTTTCATTTAGCAAGTGCAACTGTGTGTGGAAAAGAAAAACATGCACAAAAAAAAAAAAAAAAAAAAAAAAAAAAAAGGAAGGAATGAAAGAGAAAGGATGTCCATTCGTTTACCTTGATCATTAGGCATTTTATCTGAGGATTCAGCTACCAGGACAAGCAGAGGGGAGGAAAAAAGAACAAGAGAGATCACCAGATCTGAAGAAGTGACAGATAGAATTCAAAGTTTCACAAAGAAGAAATAAACTAGAGAGATTCAAGCTCCCTTTTTTAAACAGACACTACCATGGAAATAATGTCAAGAGATACTAAATCTGGGCAGAACTTTTTGTCAAGTTGTTTCTCCCTCTCAAATGATAAAATATCTACGTTAATAAAGTCCCTTAGACAACAATTCTCTTTCCATTTCTTACTTGGTGCATGATATTTTCAATGCACTTTTTACTCCTGCCATTTCATCAGCTACCCATGAACAAGCACCTCTTGATTAAAGAGGCAGTTGTGTCATGCTAGTTCTATGTTATATCATCCATCACATTAACATGCAATTGTTCACAGGCCACCAACTGCCAATCCTATTGGTTGAACCGTTACACCACAGACGGATGCAACACACTGGACCTAAAATCTTAAGGGAACTAGAAATCAGTTTTCCAAGGCACACCTAAGGCACGGACTGTATGCATTAACAGCTGGAAGACCTATGAGTCAATCAGTAATTTAAAAATAAGGCTCCACAAACATCTGAGCACAAACTGGCTTGTACGTTCATTACATGCAAGAACAGCCCAAAGATGGAATAGCAAACAAGTTTTCCTAGGCAGAGTCCGTTTTCCTTTATACCTCCCTTGAGGTTGAATTCAGAATTCATGCTGCCAGTAGCTTTTCCTACACCATTTTTAAAGAGCAAGTTGGAGAACACATGCAGAAACACCAGATTTTACCTTTGGGTGTTCTGAACTGGACTGCCTCTGACATGGGTCCCATGCCTTTGGAGTTGCGTGCCTGGATTTTGAAATAATATGGTGTATCAAGGGTTAATTCTTGGATCTGGTGAGTCAATCTGTTTCCCACAACAGGTTCAATGACCCAATCATGTATCTCAGCATTCACATCTGTGCTGTAGTAAATGATGTATCCTGTTCAAAGGAACCAAAAAGAAAAAGATTTTGCATTAAAGGGTAGGATTTTCAATAGACTTTAAATCAGAGCACAAAAGTCCTATTAACTTTCAGTGAGTTGTGCTCCTAAGTTACTAAGATTTTCAGAAATCCTTGACTTCATTGTTTCAGACTGTATGACTGTATGCAAGTAGTAGATACATATCCCACCAGAATTTTTTACAATATTACAAAACGTGTTTAGAAAAAGCAATGCCCCTTCTTCACATAGTCTACATTCAGTTAGGAGAAAATCCCCTTTTTTTTTTTAATCTTCCTTTCGAACCACAGGAGAGCAATGTAATATAATAATCTGAAAACCGTTATAAGGATGTTCTACCTCAACCATTAACATTTTAGAGAAAAATTATAACCCTGCAATTAAACAACAACATCCTAAGTACTTTCTCATGCAGAACTAATTCTGGTGCTACTTGTTTATTACTAAAAAAAATTAAAAACATGAATTGAAACAATCTTTGCATATCACACAAAAAGCTATAGGAAAATTACATCTGTGCAATCTTTTATTGAATGACCTACATGTAGGAAAGCAAGATATAGTACAAGTATTGTCAGATAGCAAATGGCATTAAAAAAACCACACTTATTAATACAAGTATAGGGCAAGTTCACTGGTAGTCTAGTTCACCTACATAATTGAACAAATGAGAAGAAATAAGTTGACGTTTTTCTTCCCTGCGTGGACTTTCTACATCATTTGGCACCTTGAAGTGAACAAAGGGCTGCATGCAGGTAGATGCAATCTTGTTACTTACTTCCTGGTCTAGCCACAAAACAACACATCAATGACCTAGTCTGTGCATGGGGCAGTATGTAAAGCGATAATTTCTCCCAAGGACTAAGGTAATTCAAGTGAGTTTATATTTGTCTGTATTAATTGGTTGGTGTTTTCAATGTATTGTGCAGGAAAGACATCTAGAACCCAGGACTGGCACTTTACAGTATTTTATACACATATAAAAATGCATGACAGAACAAGGAGCAACTGTCTCAAGTTGCAGCAAGAGAAGTTTAGGTTAGATATTAGGAAGAATTTTCTCACTAGGAAAGCAGTAAAACACTGAAACAGGTTACCCAAAGAGGTGGTGGAAGCTACATCCTTGGAGGTTTTCAAAACCCAGCTACACAAAGCTTTGGCTGGGATGATCTAGTTGGGAATGGCCCTGCTTTGAGCAAGGGGTTGAACTAGATGCGACCTCCTGAGGTCCCTGCCAGCCCTAACTTTCTGATTCTATGACATGAACAAGAAGGTTGCAAAAGTTAGTACACAAAAGTTAAGAAATGCCTATTTATACGTGTGTTATGATAACGTGTTGACTACATCTCTACAAAGTGTTGTTCTCTTTTCCATTGGACCCCATGCAGCATTCAATATCCAGAACTGATGGCACTTAGTTAAGAAACAACTGTTCTACACTGTTTCCCCTAATACCACCAGAGGGCAGTCCAATCATGTGTTCCAATAAAAATAGTGGATTTCATATCCATCCGACACAAAGGGAATTCTAATGCTTCGTAGACCTGCATCATTATATCAGATCCCTTCTTACAGTGGGATTGCAAAAAGTTGAGAGAAGGATTTTTTAAAACATTTGGCCACCGCTATTGCATATTTAAACAACAGTAAAAAAGCTGAGTCTTGCAAAATTCTGTTTAACCCAGCTGAGAAAGCGAGCTAGTTTTTCCATTATGTTCATCATTAGGGTAAGAATGGTCAAATACTTTTTTGTGCTTGGGAAGACAAATTTTCAAATTTGGCCAATTATATACCTGAAGGTGTCTCTCTATACATCTTCAAGGGGTGTAATAGATAGTTTTGATTGGCATGGACTTCGGTTGTCTGCATAATTTGCAAGTAGAGAAGCCTGGGTTAAGCAATTTTCAGACTAAGATAGATGTAATATCTTCTGGCTTGCCAATTTAACATTCACCGAGTAGAAAGGTTAGAAAATGGAGACTTGTACCAACAGTAAAATGGGGAAGTCTCACCTTTCCAACCCAATAAACAACTAGTTCCTTCCATGGTGAACAGCAAGTGTTATCAGTCACAACAAAAATCATAACATTATTTTTTTACAAAGCATTTTTTAAAAGTTACTAAAATGAATTAGTTACAATTTCTACCACCACCACCTCTTCCTCTTCATTCCAAAAGTTTTCTGAAACAATTTGCTTGTCTCCTTATTTTTCCGATGTATAACATGCACTACATGAATGCAGCTTTGTCTTCACAGTTATCTATAATGAAGAACCAAACCCTCAACACCAAGCACTAACTAAATAGTATGAAGAACTAGGGTGGAAAACTTTCTAGGAAGAGACTTGGTATCTCTAAAAAAGGCAAAATTATGGAGAATTTAATATAAAGACAACTTTTAACCAAAGACAGAGAGTGAAAGTAATGTTGATACTAACCAAGACACTCTACACAGAGCCCTGAAGCCTGCAGTTAACAAAGATAAGAGAAAAATGAAGGCAGGCAGAACTGTGCGTATCTACAGTATCGGTGCAGAACTGTGCACCGGTGCATCTGTGCAACTGTGCATTGGTGCAGAACTGTACGGTATCTGTGCAGAACTGCGTATCTACAGTATCGGTGCTCCTATTGGGAGAAGCTGGACACTGAGCAGCCCCAAACGGTTGCTCTTCCACAGGACCCATAGTGTGCATATTTCCCACACACATGCACACAAGCCTTGAACAAAGAGGCTCCTCCAGTGGCTGGACACACTGGGTTTGAGACCATGCCTGTACAAAGGGGGTTTTTTTTTATATCTAGATAATTATATTTATATATATATGGGCTTGTCTAACTGTAGATGTGTGTTTCTCAAAGTGTGTTATTAGGCTTATGTAAGATCGCGAGGACGATGTGTTCTGGAACAGTTAAAATGACAGCTCTTCAGTGTTCATTTTCAATTCTTTAGACCTCTCTTTTAGGGAGAGTCTTTTACTGCAATGCAAGCCCAGGAATGCCAAGGAGTAGAGTGGCAGTGAGCTCAAAATGTGAGTGTTGCCTTTATTTTTTAAACTGAACACATTTTCAGTAGATGTGAAAATAAGCAGTTGATTTGAGCTGCATGAGAAGATAAACAAATGGGATGAAGGTCTAGACATCTGGATGAGTTTGGGATTGGTAAAGTGATTGTGATACATATCCATATAAGCATTAAATAAACTGGATGTGTTTGGGATTGATAAAATGAATGTGATACATATCCATATAAACATTAAATAAAGTGTCTAGGCTGCTGTCCGCTAGGTATGTTCTCCATCTGCCCTCCACAACTCTGCATATCAGAAGAAAGAAAAGAGGATCATTCCAGAAAGCACGCAAAAAAACAGCACCTGTAATTTTGCCATTCGCTTCAGATGGAGGTTGCCAGTTCACAATTATGGTCCGAGGTTTTCCTTCTTTGCTTACTACAGTCACATCCTTTGGCGGAGAGGTAGGAACTGCAAATAAACAAAAAACCAGACACTAATGGATGCATATAAACTTACTCGTAATCATCTTTTAAAATGTGCTTTTCTACAAAAGAATGAGCATAACCAGTAACAGAAACCCAGCATATATAATCTGAAGGTAAATCTACCACCCCAGGATGGTGGTTTTAGCGATTTACTCCATTACCCTGGCAAATACCATATGGCATGCAATATTTCCTTTCCATAAGAAGCTATCTGTTTCTAAAGCACTGCCAGCAACAGATGCTGTGAATCATGACTATCTAAACAGAATGCATCTTAAAAAAAGATAAAAATCTGAGGGATTATCTTTGCAGAAGTGAAGCTTTGGTTGAGAGAAATTTGGTTGAGTTCTGGAAACATTTGATGGATACACAGTTGCTGTTTCATTTTATTTAAGAGAGAGCTCTCCTCCCCATTAGCCCCTTCTGCACAAAATGAGGAAATGACACAAACCACCCCAAGAAAACAGTGAAACGCTAGAACTGGAATCTCATCGTGAACTAGAATACCCAGCTGGGGCTCAGTTTAATGGCATATACATGCAGGGTGCTGATGTCTTTACCCATGCAATGACCAGCTATTTCTTGGAACTCTACCACTATTAAAACCACGACACACTTCTATTATGGAACTTTTAGCAAACTACATCTGCCATGGATACTTAATACTCTAATAGTAATGTTTTGTGCTTACCCA